GTATCAGTGTGTGTTTGTGTATCAGTGTCAGTGTGTCAGTGTGCCAGTGTGAGTGTGCCAGTGTGAGTGTGCCAGTGTGTATCAGTTTGTGTATCAGTGTCAGTGTGTATCAGTTTGTGTGTCAGTGTGAGTGTCAGTGTGAGTGTCAGTGTGAGTGTCAGTGTGTATCAGTTTGTGTATCAGTGTGTATCAGTTTGTGTATCAGTGAGAGTGATTACAGGGCCAGGCTGTCACTCTGTGAGCCCCCAGTCCTCCTACCTCTGTCACTGAGCCCCAGTCCTCCTACCTCTGTCACTGAGCCCCAGTCCTCCTACCTCTGTCACTGAGCCCCCAGTCCTCCTACCTCTGTCACTGAGCCCCATGTTCTCTCTGCCAGCACTCAGCACCGGAAAAACCAGAGCAGGACGTGCAGCTGTTTAAAGGGAGGCTGATGACGTATTGGAATGTGGGCGGGGCCAGAACGATGCCGGCTGGCAGCCACTAACAGCCAGCTCCAGCTCACGTACACACAGAGAGAGATAGGGGGACTCTAGGGGGAGAGAGAGATAGGGGGACTCTAGGGGGAGAGAGAGATAGGGGACCCCTAGGGGAGAGAGAGGGGGACCTCTAGGGGAGAGAGAGGGGACCCTAGGGGAGAGAGAGGGGGGACCTAGGGGAGGAGAGAGGGGACCCTAGGGGGAGAGGAGAGAGGGGACCCCTCAGGGGAGAGAGAGAGGGGACTCCTCTAGGGGAGAGAGAGAGGGGACCTGGGGGGAGAGAGAGGGGACCTGGGGAGGAGAGAGAGGGGACTTGGGGACTCGGGAGAGAGAGAGGGGACCTGGGGAGAGAGAGGGGGACCTGGAGAGAGAGAGGGGACTCTGGGGAGAGAGAGGGGGACCCTGGGGAGAGAGAGAGGGGACTCTGGGGGGAGAGAGAGAGAGGGGACCTCTGGAGGAGAGAGAGAGGGGGACTGGGGAGGAGAGGGGACTCTGGGGAGAGAGAGGGGGACTCTGGGGAGAGAGAGGGGACCTGGAGAGAGAGAGGGGACTCGGGAGAGAGATAGGGGGACTCTGGGGGGGGAGAGAGATAGGGGGATTCTAGGGGGGGAGAGAGATAGGGGGACTCTAGGGGGCCTGAGAAAGATACCCAGGGGGCTGTAGGGGGGAGAAGAACAATAGACGGGGGTTTTACAGTGGAGAGAAAGATGGGAGGCTCTAGTCTAGAGGAAAAAAAGATGTGGAGTCAGAGGGGGCACACCGAATGCTGCACATACAATGGCAAAACAACCATAAACATAAAATAAATCATTATGCAATAGTTATGGATCACGTGTGAACACTGTAACACACGTCAGTGCAAAGCCAATATAGTTACTGCAAACTAGATATGAAGTAGATACATAGTCATTTTCACTGTAATTAATAACATTAAAATAGCACTTTGTTTATGCAACTATGGAGGCTGTCATTTTTCTAATGTAATAATATGGTACTTACATTTATTATCATAGTATAGTATATAGTGCAAACATTGTCTGCAGTGCTTTACAGAAACACAATAGGGCTACTTAACGACAAGCAAATGACAGATAATCGATATGAACAAAAACAAGGAGAAAAGGGGCCTCAAAGGAGCTAACAATCTAAAACCCTGCCCTCAGACAAGTTTCCAAATCTCTGGATGAAGTAGTAGTTGCAGGGAGCAGCGCTTGGCAAACCCCATGTAAGAAGTCAAACCATTCTAAAACCAGCTTGACTCCTTACAATGGAAGGGCACCATAACCACTACATCATGCTGAGGTTATGGTGCTTGAAGTGTTCCTCTGAAACTAGTAAGTAGGTTTGTATAATGTAATTACCACAGGCTCTCACACAGCAAGTAAACTACTAATTGGTGGATTATAGACAACTAAGTGCTCAACTACTTTCTTTAAAGATCAAAAAAGGTCAACATTCAGTCCAAGGACCTCTGTCTAGACTAGGTAGTATTTTCCAAAATACAAAAATGCCACAAGATACAGTGGAAAGACAGCAGGAGATTAGGGGGGTCATGGCTTGGCTGAAATCTTCGTGTAGGAGGAAGATTTTGTATTTAAAAAACATTAGGCCGCTTTTGCACAGAATGAACGAGATGGGGTCTGCTGTGCAAGGGGGGGTGGGGGTGACATAGAAGGATAAATATGGTAGATAGAATAGGTTGAATTCAGCTAATGTCCAGGAGAATGGAGACGGTGGGGGTTGAAACCCCCCCCCAAAAAAACACACAACAGAACAAGGGTAACTTTAAATGCTTGCTAAAAGCCTATGTAACAAAACGGCTAAGTTTGAGATATTAGTATACAAAGAACAGTATGATATATTTTGGGGTTACTAAAACTTGGTGGAATGAGACGCTTGATTGGGCGGTTTATGTAAACGATATGCATTATTTAGTGAATATGGCAATGTAGAAATTGGGAGAGGTATGTTTACATATCAAACATGAATTGAAGGCCAGTACTAAAGAAATGGCATGTGATGATAAACGTGAGCACGTGATATCCTGATGGGTGGAAATATGCATTGTAGGAGGTGTTACAAACCCCAAGCAGTAAAAGAACACTAAATGGAAAAAATATATATTTTTATTAATTTAGTAGATTTAACCCCCAATGAAAACACACATGCATTTAATAGTTGTTTTTTTTCCCCATTGGGGGTATATCTAAAAACAGCTTGTAGAACCTGCAGATCTCTTGTCTGAGGCCTTTGAACACCCTCAGACTTTCTGTGACTGTCCAATCAGAGCCTTCCCAATGCAGCTCAATGAGAAGTCTTTGCAGGGCAGGTGCTCTGGGCAATTACTGCCTCTTGAGTTATGAGCAACTAACCTAACCAGACCAGGAAGTAACATGACTTGGTTGTAACAAGCTTAATTTAGAAAAGTGCACATTTCTATTGAAACTTTTTGTAAAATGGAAAAAAAAAAACCCCACAAAAAACAGGGCACACTCTTCACACATAATGCACATGGTATCTGAAGTGTCCCTTTAATGTCAATATTTTAGGGATGCATGGAGTAGTAGCTCCCAATATATATATATATATATATATATATATTTGTTTTTATTAGATCACACCATAATTACAGTACAGTTTAGCTTATGTTTATCAAACCATATGACTTGATAAAGACTCACTGGAGTCATAACATCACCTTTCTGGAGGGGGGTGAGCGGGGGTTGGTATGTGAAAGAGTCACTTTAAATATATCTGTATGGGCAGCATTTCAGAAAGACTCCAAGGTACATGAACATTTTATACCACGGAAGTACATGCGTCAAAGTAATAAATGTTCCACTTTATTTGGATAAAGTCTGAACTCTTTAAAGTCTACCCTATCTCCCACTCCCTGTGTAGGCTGTTTTGATGTGTATACTTGCGTAGGCTGTTTTGAAATATATTACTATAACCTGTAATCTCTATAACCTGGTCTGTTTGGTTTCTTAGATCTTGTAATTATCTGCCTTCCATTTTATTCATGATGTTGTTAAAGGGATACTGCAACCACCATAACCACTTCTGGTTTTAGAAATGGTCAAATTCTATATGTGCAGCGTTTCTGCTTTAACCCCTTCAGGACTGGACTGTTTTTGCGATGTTTGTGCGTTAAGGACCAGAGCTATTTTAACACTTTTGTGGTGTTTGTGTTTAGCTGTAATTTTCTGCTCTCTCATTTACTGTTCCGATACAAATTATATATTGTTTTTTTCAGGACAAAAAGGGCTTTCTTTACATACTATTATTTTTGTCATGTCATATAATTTAATTAAAATAATAAAATATGGTGAAATATTTTAAAAAAACAAAACACTTTTTTGACTCTTACTTAAAAAAATCTTTTACTGATCTACAAAATCGAATGAAACAAATGGCTAAATAGATTCAAAAGGTTGTCCTGAGTTTAAAAACACCCAGTATTCATGTGTTTTTGCTTTTATTTGCAAGTTATAGGGCTATAAGTACAAGTAGGAAATTGCTGTTTCAAAATGTACATTTTTCAAATGTATCAATAGTGACATTGTAACACTGTTGTCATAAATCTCCATAAAACACCCGACATGTATATATTTTATTTAAACTAGATAACCCAGGGTATTCATCTAAGAATATTTTGATAGTTTCTATGCAGCCATTTTACCACAAACCTTTGCCAAACTTTGCATAGGTAGTTTATTTTTTTATTTTTTTTTCACATACATTGCAATTCAGGTATAAATTCACCGATTCTGTTAGGTGTCACTACAAAACAACACCCCAATATGTGCTCAGCAACATCTCCCCCCATGTATAGGTGTGTCGGGTTGTTGGGGGGGCTAAAAGGCCACATTTTGCAGGTGCGCATATCAGTTTCCCAGCTTGGAATTTTGACATGTAGTCAACCTGCATGCATGTCCTATTTGGGACATTTTTGAAGCCGGCCAATGTATTTTACCCCCATCAAACCATATATTTTTGAAAATAATTTTAAATGGTGGTATTTTAACACTTTTCATGCACTGAACTCTACCACCAGCCTTTGTCAAACTTTTGGGTAGTAATCTTTTTTTGTTTCTTTGTCACACACATTGTACTGTAGGCATGAATTAAGAGATATGTTCAACAACATCACCCGAGTACAGGGATACCCCCCATGTATAGGGTTGCTGGGTTGTTTGGGGACCAAAAGATATAGGTATGCTTGGTCTATCTTCAGTTTGACATATTTTTGCACCCCCCAGTTAATGTTACCATCATGACAGTATATATAGTAGATATTTTTTATAAAGTAGACATCAATGGTTATAGAAGATGGGGTCTTTTTACTTCTTTCCCCCAACCATTTTGCCCCCCAAAGAAAGTGTAGTGGTAATTTTTTAATTCTGGTTTTTATGCACACGTCATCTGGTTTTGGCCAGCTGGTTATGTATTGCAGACTAGTGATGTCGCGAACCGTTCGTGGCGAACTCTGGTCAGCTGACACATCCCTGCCAATCTCCGGCAGACCCTCCCTCCCAGACCCTCCTACTTCCTGGACAGCATCCATGTTGAAGCTCTGTCCAGGAGGTGGGAGGGTCTGGGAGGGAGGGTCTGCCGGAGATTGGCAGGGATGTGTCAGCTGACCGGAGTTCGCCGCGAACGGTTCGCGACATCACTACTGTTAATTAGTGGGGGCACACTTGAGTCAAGATTTTCTAGTAAGTGAAAAGCTAAACAGCTTTAGACCCAATAGACTTTCTCAGCAACTATACTTTTGGTTAAGTGACTGTTGCTACATAGTTTACTTCTTTCCAGTGCATATCCACACTCAAGAATACATTTTGGTCTTCGTATGTGGATATTACCTTTTTTTACTTGATTTAATTATATATAGATGGCATACATTATATATAATATATAGACCGCATACACAGGGTATCAGATTATATTATATATAGACACCATACATAACTATTTGTCCTGAAAATGGTCTAGCAGTGGGTGTATTTTATGAAGCCTATCGTATTGGGGGTGATCTCTAGGGTGACAGAGGGTATTGTCACTGAAATGTAAAAATCTCAGCAGTAACTCGTATCTGGCTCAAGGCATGGTTTGGGAGAATACTGGACTAGACATTATTGGGTTGGTGCTCCAGTATGAGCGACTCGATGGCTTCTTTATAATCCCCATGAGCATTGTAAGAGCCCAGAATTTTTTAAGCTCTGGGACGTCTGTGGGATGCCAGTAATGCTCCCTGACTGTATAGCTATCTGGATTGTTATCAATAAATTGGATAGCATACAAGTTAGTCTGGGAAGCAATCTCCTCCCAGATGGTATCCCATACAAATTGTTTTACATACTGCATTGGGGAGAAGCCATCCCCATTAACATTAATGCCTGCGTTGGCACTAAAAGGGGGGACGTTGGGCTCGGCTAACTGTGGAGGTACCCAGTCCTCCTCCACATTCGGCGTAGCAGAGGAAGCACAGCTTCTTTCTTCAGCCGGCTCACACACAGATGACATGTTGTCTTGACTAGACGTGTTAGAAAACTGACCTGGGTCAAAATCTGACGCAGTGTCAGTGGCGTCAGAGTCTGACGCCAAGAAGGCATATGCCTCCTGCAAGTTATACATACGCTGCATGTTTTACACACGACTAAGACAAATTACAAATTTTTTTGATACTTTTTTTTTTTTTACTATAACAGACTAAACAGCAATCCCTAAACTAACTCCTGTCACAAAAATCTAATGGAGATTTGGGGGAAGGAAACGGACTGACCAAGAGACAGATTTTTAAAACAAATTTAACCCTTTTAAAGGCAAAAAAAAAATACAGGCAGTACAAATGCACTGCTGTAACAGATCTGGCAGGGAAGGGGTTAAAAGGGATTTTTATTCACTTTAGATACTGTATAAAGCTCTGGAACACTTCTGCAACAAACTATCACAATCTCTTTCTCTCTCGCCTCACAAAACGCTACAGAGGAGAGAGGGGCAGAGATCACTGTCAAAGTGAGTGAGTGTAACACCCACTTTGACAGCAGCCAATTGTGAGTGATCGCACACACGCCGCAATTGGCTGTTACTATCTGCCTGGGATGTCTGGCAGATAGTTACATTGTTATACTGGCGGGAGCGATCTTTGATCGCTTCCCGCAGCCCGTTTTTCGCTATGACAGTTCAGGACCGTCAGCGGTCCAAACGCACATTTTAACCCTGACGGTCCTGAAGGGGTTAAATGATTCACATACAGAGTAATCTGCACTTTTGTGTCTGAGGCTAATTGCATAACCAACACACATGAACTTGGCAGCTTAGAACTCTATTCCAGGCTGCCTAACATCAATAATGTGCAAAACGCATGGCTGTCGTCAGCTTCCATCCTTCACTTAAGCCCTTACTGCATGCACTCTAAGCAAGTAAAGTGATCCAATCATTCTTCTCTATGAAAAATATTTGATTGGACCATGTGACAGTGTGGGTGATGTCAAATGGAGAGTGACGTCGGGAGCTTCGTCCGGCGATGGATTTCAGGAAAGTTATTGCTTCATATTATTAGTTAGTTTAGAGTTGGTGGGGGAGTCCTAAAAAATAATTCCCAATATTACAGATTTTTTAAAAATGCAAAGTGATGGCACAAAACAGTTAGACTGAGCATTTACCTCATATGTGCATTAATATGTGGAATTCTTAGTAAAACTTTAACTAATAAAAGAAATGTAAAAAGTTACTTGATGGTATAATAACCATTTAAAAATGAAAGGACCACTAAATGCACCCAGACCACTTCATCTTATACATTGCAGGTGTGCAAAATAAATGAATAAAATGTAATTTGCTGCATAAATAGCAACACAAAAAACAGACCATAAAAAAATCACAAAAGCAACGCAAGGTGTTGCAGACAATGTGCAGGTTATTCAAAAATATTTTAAGAAATCTCCCCATTGCATAGATCTTAAAGTGAATCTGCAAAGTTCTAAAAGTGAAGCGATCACCATAGGAGTCAGTTGAATGCTGCCTCCACATTGCTCGATATTTACAGCTTTGGCCAAGAACTTTTGTCACTTGTATAAATAGATTGAGTCACATAAAGTCGTATGAACTTGTCAGAACAACTGAATAATAGAAATCATAGTTATAGCTGTGCTTGTGAGTGATTCAGTGACTAATATTGTGCAGATGACATCGAGTAAGTGGAGTAGACAGAGAGGAGAGAAAGCAATAGTTTAAGAACATGAGACATTATCAAAGCTCAAGATGAATAAGTGCTCTATCGTAGATTAACCATTTTATGACAACATTGCAGTACAGGGGATTTAACACCCATTGGCAGCCTATGCAGTCTAAGTACTAGCGGGGGTGTATGAAGGAATCCCAGGTATCTTTTGATACCTGGAATTTCACTATGAGCTGGGCTATTTTAGTGGCACCATCTTTTTGAAAGTCAGCACGCAGCTCCTTAAATAGGCATTTAAATGTCTATAGCAGGGATAGGCAACCATCGGCACTCCAGTTGTTGTGGACTACATCCCCCATAATGCTACCTTTATGCCTGTCTGCTGCTTCTGGCTCTGCCCTGATTCGCCTGCTTGGCTGACATCAGACGTGTTGATCAAAAGCCAATCACAATGCTTTTCCATAGGAAAACTTTGGATTGGCTAAGACTGTCAAGGAGGCACATCAGGGGCAGAGCCAGCACAAGCCAAGAACAGCCCTGGCCAATCAGCATCTCCTTAAAGAGATACATTGAATCAATGCATCTCTATGAGGAAAGTTCAGTGTCTCAATGCAGAGGGTGGAGACATTGTGCAATACTGCCCCAGGAAGCACCTCAAAAAGCTATACGAGGAGTGGCCAATAGAGGTATCCCTTTACTATTTACTGCAAAAAGCCTGGAGGGAATGATTATACTCACCAGAACAAATACAATAAATTGTAGTTGTACTGGTGACTATAGTGTCCCTTTAAGTAAGGATTAATATTATTAGCTTAACCTTTAAGATTGGGTCTAAAATTTATTTTAGGATAGGTATTATGTTTAATAAGGGTTCACATTAGAGTTTAGATTAGGTCCAGAAAGGGAATTCCACTGCTGACATCAGAGAGAATCCTAACAGAATACAAACAAAAAATATATATATATATAAATAAAATCTGATAGTTATGTATGGTGTCTATATATAATATAATCTGATACCCTGTGTATGCGGTCTATATATTATATATAATGTATGCCATCTATATATAATTAAATCAAGTAAAAAAGGTAATATCCACATACGAAGACCAAAATGTATTCTTGAGTGTGGATATGCACTGGAAAGAAGTAAACTATGTAGCAATAGTCACTTAACCAAAAGTATAGTTGCTGAGAAAGTCTATTGGGTCTAAAGCTGTTTAGCTTTTCACTTACTAGAAAATTTTGACTCAAGTGTGCCCCCACTAATTAACAGTAGTGATGTCGCGAACTTGCTGCGAACGGTTCGCGGCTAACTCCGGTCAGCTGACACATCCCTGCCAATCTCCGGCAGACCCTCCCTCCCAGATCCTCCTACTTCCTGGACAGCATCCATGTTGAAGGCAGCTTGGCGACAGGTTGGGGGGGACCTAAACGAGTTGTGTTATTGGATAGTCCAGAGTACTGTACTGTTAGAAAGATCTTAGGGAGGTTTTCAGTACTTACTATTACAAATAAACAATCCAACATGTGGAGTCAGTAACACTCCAATGTATGGAGTCAGTAGATATTCCCCTTGCTGCCCCTTAATTCAGATGTGAGCTCTTAATTATATATCTTTCTTCATAGATGATGATTGCTAGCCTTAATGTGTGATTTAAGGTTCACTTATAGTAAACATCTCCTGTAGTACTGAATAATAAAGCATCGGTAAAAGAAAAGCCTCTCTCCCTGGTAAACTAACTAAATAGTCAGAGATTGGAAATAGAGTGTGAGAGAGAAAGAAATAACTTATAAATCCATTATATCATGCTTAATATGTGCATGATGAAAGAACACCAGCGTGAGTGCGTGTAAGAAGCGCCCTGTGAAAATCACAAGTTTACAAAATGCAGTATAACAATACACCTCACCCGGCGGGTATTATTGTTATACTGCATTTTGTAAACTTGTGATTTTATTTTTACTAAGTCCCTGAGGATGTTCCAACATTGGAACGAAACACGTAGGACTTATCTTTGTCTCATATACTTTCTAACCATTGCAATACATGAAGCGTTTTTACTATTTTCCTGATTCCTGCTCTGTTCATCCTCTTGAATATTGAAAAAAGGGAAGGAGAGGAGGATTACGTTTAGCCCCCCCGTGCTATCAGTCGATGGTTATCCTGATATTCTGTGAGTGCATTATATTGACGTGTCATACACTGTTTAAGAGGATACTACACTATGTTATTTTGTTTGTTTTCATTATTCTTTTAGGTTTGTAGCTGTATCCCATTTTTTTGTATATTCTATACGTCTACTAGTCAGTGACCCACTGTCAGGGTTAATTTGGGAAGCTGCTGATTAATTAAGTTATTTATATTTTTTCTTGTGTTTGTATAATGTAGGCGGTCTGTATATTATATATAATGTATGCTGTCT